TACCCCAGCACCTCTCCCTGCCCCCCAGTACAGCCCGCGATGGACGGGCCTCCAGGGGATACCCGTGGCCGGAGCGTGTTCTTCAGGGGGCTGCGAAGGAGATTTGCATACGGTCCTGTCGTACAGACACATACGCACTTCTTTAAATTAATGTAGAGAGTTAACACACTCTATGAACATACATGGGTATGTACATGCCTATATATACATAGACATTCATATCCATTCTCTACACACAGAGTTCAGAGTAATTTAGAGACGTGTAAGTACGTATGTGTATGTATATATTTACATACATATACATATGGCTGAATGTATATGTATTTATTTTAACATGTATATATGTATATACATATATTAAAAGCAATTTTAATATATGTATACATATGTATATGTACATATGTTACCTATTTACCATATACAGGAAAAGTGCTTCTACCAAACTATATGAAAGAGAACATTCTGTTCCCATTAATTAAAATTTAAATTATATTCATTTAGCGAGTTAGAAGAGCATAGTCTGTGTGTGCATATATATATGTATATACATGCTTTATGATCTATATAATTCTAATATATATTCTATTATTCCATTTTATAATTCTATTATAATATTCTACCTTTTATGTTTTCTGCTATATATTGTATAAGATATGATATATAATTAAAATTGTATATAACAAATTTTATAACATATTTAATATATACAATAAGATGTAGTATTTTAATATATCTATTTTTTGCTCCCTGTGATAGGCACAATCCTATTCCTGTTAACTGAGGTTTACATTATGTTAATTGAAACAGTTAAAAGAACGCACTGTATAAAGAGTTATGAATGTCCATACATTTATTCTCATATGTTTGTATATAAATATAAAATTAATAATGTATTTCCATGTGTGTGCCTGTGTTTGTTGCCAATGTTGAACATGTGGTGGACAAAATCCTGCTCCTGAAGGCATTGTGATCTGATTCCATCAGATACTCTCCGTATTTCCTGAAAGAATGGAATCTCAGCCATGATTTGCTCATGACTTCACCACTTGTGAGTAAGACAGTATTCCAAAGCTCAAACTCATAAAATCTTTATAGCACACCGTTCTGCATGACTTTATAGCAAAGCATGTCTCTCTTGACTTCAAATAAAACTGAAGTAGGTAGATAAAACTAAAGCAGGTGGTGAGAACTCTTTTTTTTTTTTTTTTCCCTTTGTTTTCCCAAATGTCAAAAGTAAACCAGTTGCTACCATTTCTGTAGGGAATTAAAGGTTGTATTCAATTTGCTCAGTATCTGTAGCTGTCATTGCCCCCCCACCCCCAGCCCCAAACCTGAAAACAAGGCATTAAGCCTGTATTAATGACAAATTTAAAACAATGGCACTAATAATAGGGTTTTCTTTATTTTAACTAGAAGTCAGCCAAGAGAACATGCCTGAATATCTAACCAATGTATACACCATCTAAACTTCTAGCTGCATGTCATGTCTTCATAGGTCCTTTTATTTGTTATAGTAGATTCTCTGAAAGAAGAGAAAGAGATGAATATTGCTAATTCTGAGGACAGTTCCTTTACATGAAAAAAAAACAACCAAACCAAAACAGTGTTTGTGGGTTTTTTTTCTCTGAGTCTCCTGGTCCCTGTCAGAAGACCATCAGAGGGTAAGTCCAAATCTCAGGTGAAAGAGATAGCATTATTTCTCACATGCAAATCAGACCGTAAATAATGAATTTAATTCAGTCTAAAATCAGAAGACCTGTAATTATACTTATGTGTTTCACTTTCTGACCTTTCCTCCAGATGAAGAAAACATTGTTGAAAAATAGTTATAATGAGGGTGGTGGTAGATGAGAAGCTCGACTTGAGCCACCAGTGTGTGCTGGAGCCTGGAGAGCAACTGCATCCTGGGCTGCCTCAAAAAGAAGTGTGGCCAGCAGGGCCAGGGAGGTGATTCTGCCCCTCTGCTCTGGTGAGACCCCATCTGGAGTTCTGTGTACAGTTCTGGTGCCCTCAGCACAAGAAAGATATGGACCTGTTGGAGAGAGTGCAGAGAAGGGCCACCAAGATGATCAGAGGCCTGGAGCACCTCTGCTATGAAGACAGGCTGGGAGAATTGGGTCTGTTCAGCCTAGAGAAGAGAAGGCTCCAAGGAGACCTTATAGCACCTTCCACTACTTGAAGGGGATACAGGAAAGCTGGGGAGGGGCTTTTCATCAGAGAAGATAGTGAGAGGACAAGGGGTAATGGTTTTAAACTGAGAGAGGGGAGATTTAGGTTAGATATTACGAAGAAACTCTTCACTACAAGGGTGGTGAGGAACTGGAATGTGTTGCCCAGGGAGGTTGTTGATGCCCCATCCCTGGATGTTTTTAAGGCCAGGTTGGATGAGGCTTTGTGCAGTCTGATCTAGTGGTAAGGTTCCCTGCTCATAGCAGGGGGTTGGAACTTGATCTTTAATGTCCCTTCCAACCTTAATGATTCTGTGATTCTATGAAAGTGTCAGTACCTGCTCACCTAAGAGCCATGTTGCAGATCCTCTCTAGTTACTTGACTTGTGCCTTCAGGATATTGGACAGGACTGAGAATAATTTTCAATAATGTCAGTGAAAAAGCATTGGCAAGAGCAAGTTGGACAAGGCTATTGGAAGTATAGTTGTTTATACACTGTCCCATCAATACTTTTCTCTAATACCACCTCATAAGCCCCATCTATGCGGGGATTCACGTCCCCATCCAATAGTCACAGCAAAGATATCTGGAGAGCAGGGAACTGGACCATTGTTTCACAGACCCACAGGCTTGAGGAACTGCCTGAAGGTTTTTGATTTGCCAAAAAGAGAGGAAAAAAGCCTTTGGGTGGGAAAGTGCTGAGGCATGCAAAGGTGGAGGAAGGTCCCTTGTCATGGGAAATGTTCTTTATTGCTGCTCTTTTCATTTAAGGCAGTGAGGGATGACAGAGCCCAGCTGCTGCAGGCTGGCAGAGACAGAGAGATGCTTTGGCACCTGGGTCATGCTGTCAAAGTCACAAAGTTTCTCCCAGACACATCAATATAGACTCTTTTAAGGGGCACCACCCACTTATTTGGCATTATTTGTCTTCTTACTTTCCTTCTCTCCAAAAACAAATGGGCACACACAATGGAAATCCTTCCAGCTCTAAGGATCTAGGTACTGGGCCAAGGCTGGGTCACCCCTCCTATGAAGAGAGGATGAGAGAATTGGGGTTGTTCAGCCTGGAGAAGGCTCTGGGGAGACCTTCTAGTGGCCTTCCAGTACCTGCCAACATGAAGGGGCCCACAGGAAAGCTGGGGAGGGACTTTTTACAAGTACTTGTAGTGAGAGGACAAGAGGTAATGGATCAAAACTGGAAGAGGGGATATTTAGGTTAGACATTAGGAAGAAATCCTTCCATGGGAGAGTGGTGAGAAACTGGATCAGGTTGCCCAGAGAGATTGTGACTGTCTCCTCCCTGTAAGTGTTCAAGGCCAGATGACGGGGCTCTGAGCAACCTCAGAGAGACGTGTCCTGCCAATGCAGGAGGGTTGAATCTAAAGCCCAAAATATTTTATGATTCTATGGTTATGAAAATGACAAGTAGGCAAATGGGAAGGGGGAAAAAAAAAAAAATAGGGAAAGGTATCATTAATCCTGAGGCAGGTGGCTTACATGCCAGTAATAAAAAAGGAAATAGTACATTTACACAGATCCCAAAAAACTGGGAGAGTGAAGAAAACTGAACGTGAGACGAATTACTAGAGTTGATACTGTCTATTGTTACACTAAAATATAATCTATTTTATGGATGTATTGTGTAGAAGAGAATATCTAGCATTTAAATATGGCTTTAAAAATGGCTTTACAGGATAGCATGATACAACAGGGAAGCAGACCAAATTTGACTCTGGAGTTTGTTGAAACAGGTTAATGAAGTTCAGTACAGTATAAGGTGCTGAAGGTCTTGTGGAGTTTCTCTCAGCACATGTTGCCTTTCATTGCTACCAGCCACATGCAGCTGGTCTCACAGATGCTGGAGTGTTTAACCATCACCATTAGAGGGTCTTTAAATCCAGGCAAAGATTTGTCTGAGACAGCAGAGTGGGTTATGATACTCCCATTACCTCTGTTTCACCCAGGCTGCATGAGACAGCAG